CAGCTAATTATGTTTGCCTACCCAATAAGCTCCAATTATGTATTATGAATAGTTGATATTTTATATAAGATATAAGCAGTATTTTTTTGCATTCTTAAAGATTTGAGCATTAAAAAAGGAGCAGAAAATAGGAAAGTACAAAAATGAAAAACAAAGCAGATGGGCTATATTTACAATGAAAGATATTATGAAAATGTCTAAATAATTTGCAGCTCGTATTTAATGGCCAAAATCTTTACATGTAATTGGGGAGGGAAGCTGAGAGAATTTCAGTTATATTCACACTTGGAAAACAGGCTAAAGACAGCAGTTTATTTCTGTCTATGAAAAATCTACACATGAAAATGACCATGGAACATTCACAGCTAGACTATTAAGCTTCAATATACGGCAACAATTAAATCCTTGAATCTCAAAAATTATGCATAAAGAGACTGGGTACAAAAATTATACTCTTTAATGGCCAAGTAGAAGAAAGTTTATGGCTCTGTTCACCCAAAGTTCCAGAGCTTCATGATTTATCAATACTGATTCAACGCTTTAATTTTTCAGTCTATCTATTCACACATATTCCCTAAAATACTAGTAATTAATGTTTCCAAATAGAATTTGTGCCTTGCTATTTCAAATGAGAGGCAGGACTAATAACTAGTGAAGTCCCTTCTAAGTTCTTTGTGCATTATAYATGTAAGCTTTCTGAGATGTGCCTCAAATTAAAATAAAAGCTTCTTAGTGTAGTGTCTGAGAAGAAATCTGTAGTGATGTTCTTGAAAATGAATGAACAACGGTACAAGCACTACAATTCTTGGAAGTCTCTGTGCAGCTAGTATATAGTTTAAATTCTTAATTTCACTACACTCCCACTACAGCTGAAGCATATTGTTGGTATATTCATACCCAAGACTGTTTTCTGAAGCAAAATACAAATCCTTCGATGGGAATTTTTATCTTACTTGACAGGACAGAATCCAAATAAGAGAATGCAGGAGACTGAGAAGGACACTCTCTGGTATCCAGTGAGACACTTGCTTTTACTGTAATTAGAGCAATTATAATACTTCCTTCCTACGCGATTTCTCTGACATAAAATAACAGGCTGACTTGCATTCAATAAGGGCATTAAGAGCTTTTCTCTATCTAGGCAGTTTTCTTCACAAAAACTACTAGAACTTCCTCTGCTCTGTTAAGCGTGGTCGAAAGTGGCCATTTCAAAAGCTCCTGGTGAGAATCCACAGCGCAGAGACACACGCTACGGGACGAACCCGTCCCCGTTTTCCTGGGACCTGCTGCTGTGATCATCTCCACGCAGCGGCCTCTCGACCCCAAGTTCAGGATGACCAGATGGCTAAAACCTACGGAAGAGCCGTCCTCGCCTTGGCCACGGGGCAGGCACCTCATTTACTCTGATCATCCCACTCCTGCTCCACTGCAATGGACTGCACTTCCCTCCCTGCCAGCCAGGCTGGGCAGCTGCCCCTGGTGAAACGAGCCCCAAATCTCCCTTCTTTGACCCCCTTGTCCTGTCCCCAGGCTCCTGATACCTGGCGTCCCACTCCATGGAACTGGCAGGCCCTTCAAGGGAGCGTGCGATCCTCCCTGCTGAAGACAAATGTTAGCTGAGGATTAGGAACCAGAAATCCAGGAGAAATCACTACGACAAATTCCTAGGATTCAGGAGCAAGCAAATTAAAAATCAGAAATTGTCTCTTACAGCTAAAAAATAAATATAACGGTGGTTCTCCTAGGTGGCCTGTGCTTTGCTTTATGGTGTGTGCATCTTTGTTTACTGTGTGTATTTAYGGGTTTTTAAATAAACAAGACAATTTTGTACTGGAGGAAACAGTTATTTTCAGGCTGTTTTTAACACGGTAAAAAACTGAAGTTACTGTGTCAATAAATTTCTTTCCAACTTCCAATATTCACCTGAAAAAATATTTGTGCCCAAACTTTTGGGGCACGTTATTTTTCCAACTTTCCATTTTCAATTTAGTTCTCTCTCCAAGTCAAGCAAGTAAGCTATTTTTTCCTAAGACATCGACGGAGCCACTTCTGCTCACAGGCCAAAAGCAGTCCACAGTTTTATTTACTATGACCCGTAGCCATACCCGATCTATCTTTCAGGCACTAGCATTCTGTTAATGATAAATGAACACATTCAGTATTTTTCATAAATTTATGGGCTGCCCTCAAAAGCCATTTGGAAATTTATTTCGCCATTAAGCAGGAAGAAATTTCTCAGCCTTTCCTAAAAGAAGAGTTTCTAAATGGGAAGCAAAAAGTCTTCTTTCTCATGAAACACTACCAAAGTGACATTAATTACATGTGGTTGTAGCTGAGACCTAAACAGAAGACTGTTTAAACCAAAGTGACACCACAAATTAAGCTTGTATCCCCACTCCAGAAACACTGCAAAGACAGTGGTTCACACAATGATTTATTTTCTTATATTCTATTAAAAGCAGCAGCAGTAAATTAGAAGACAAGAGAGGTTGGAAAAAGAGAGAAGATGACATGTTGGGATTATTAGAACGCTGTGGCAGTTAATTCTTCAGTAATCAACAGGCTGCTGTATTTTATTATTTTTAAGTCTCTTAAGCTGGTATTGTACTTCTTGCACCTCTGTTGATAGGTACTAAGAAATCCTTCAGCGAAACACACGGGTTGGCTACACATTGCAAAGGTTTGTTCATTTGGTTACGTGATTTTTAAGTATTCCTTATTCGTACTAGAATTCTCCTGTTTTATCTTTTTGCTGCCTAGTTTCATCTACTGTGGCRGGTTAAAAAGGGGAAATATTGCATAGTTATCAAATCTGTTACACTAATATCTGGCTGAAGTAATAAGGATGTCCCACCGTATTCTTTTTCARCTTAAATGTGAATATGTGTGCCCTGCCCTAAAAATATAAAATTTTTGTAGTATATCTTACTTTTAAACCAAAAACAAAAAGTGCTGAAATGAACGCCAGTGCTTAATTTTAATTAATTTATATTGCTAGTAAGTGTTGAGCTTTGCTTAAACAGATCAAAACAGCAATGCTCTTCCCCAAACCAAAAGACCACCCACCACCGAAAGCAATATTGTCTCATAAAATTCTGCCAAGTAACTTGACACTCTGCCCCAATGTTTTTTAAAAACAYTGAAGCCAAAATAATTGGATGATTAAAGGAACAAAGATAAGACTTTGACAGCTGCTGAGAAATGAGAACAATGCTCACAGAAGCAGTTAGAGGAAACACTGGAAATGGCAGGCATTTCTGTCAAAAAGCTGGGCACAGAGAAACCAATAACTATCAGATGATGTCTGTGCCTCGGTGCTATTTTTTACCTTGCCCATTTAGCAGCTGATTTCCAAAGGAAGACTGGAGCTAGCTGTATAAAATCCAGAACTTTTATATATATATAAAAAKAAGAGCACTAATGCAAAAGGACAGCAGAATCTTCAAGCAATCCAGTGACATTTAGTTTGGGAAGGACAAAACTTCAGCATTTAAGATGAAGCTGCAGATGCGAAGATATCAGACCCTGAAATGTAAACTGGCATTTCTTCTTCCTTGAATGGAAATCATATCATTGCCACTGCTCACTGATTTTTAACATGTATACAAGGAACATCACACAGTTCCCCTTAGGTGACGGAAATATTACTGAAGCTAGAACTTGCAGATATCACTTTATGATAAGTGATTTTTTGACAGATTTTTGGTTGCTTTGAGAAGAAGATTGGAACTTACATTTGGTTTTGCAACCTGCAAAGCAGAAAACAGATAGAAGCCTCCTCACAGACAGAAGGCAGAAGCAGAAGGAGCCAGCACAAATACCAGGAAGATCTCTCTTATATATGAGCATGTTGAAAATTGGTTCACCCTTGCCATTCAAAGCAGTTGCTGTTGCCCAGATGCAAGATTTCTTCCATGAAAGCTCCATGACATGACAACAGATACATGCTCCTCTCTCTCTCTTTTTTTTTTTCTTTTCTTAAAGATAAACTCCTGTTACTAAATATACAAGAAAATGCCATTATTTAAATATTTCCAAATGGAAATATGAATAAAAAGATTCTCTTAAAACTTCTAAATGATCAGAAGAGAAACTGGAGATATTTCATGGTCTCCTTAAAATTCCTAGTCTCGACAAAAAGTAAAACTTTCTGTCATTTTCTAGGCCGTAAATATTTTACTGCTGGGAAAAGATTTTGATGTTTGTAATTTCTATTGAAGAGAACACTACGAAGTACTTAAAAATATTGCCACATCTGAAAAACAGACCAACGGGAAGTATAAGACACTTGTTCATCTGTATTTCTGTGACTTTTCTCACTTGGTATTATTTGCAACCCTACTTTCATGTCTGGCAACAGTGCCAACTCTACTAAGGATCATATATTACTTTTATCATGTTGATTACATATGTTCACCAGTTTTGCTGCCTCTATATGATTAGTGTGGTTTGCACATACTTAGTGACACAATCCAGAGCATGACATTTTCACAGAAAATGTGTTTACTGGGAAAGAGCTCCTCAGAAGTTTGCTTTCCTTTACAGCTTTAATCTACATGACATCAAGAATGCTGCAGCTTGAATATATGTTTACCATTTATATTATTAAGATCCATCTCCTTCATACTATATGGCTACTGAGCACTTTGGTAGTCACTAAAAAAAAATACCCCTTTTCTTTTAGGTGAACTTGGTAATAGCTGAGTAAAGGAAAGCCCCTAAAAATGTTCTCATCTGTRAGCTTTAACTTCATAATGGCTTGACATTTAAATTCTGTTATTCATCAGCACTTCACAGAAGAACTTGATTTGTCTAAATGGATTTGAAAGCCCACAAGTGAAGAAAATCAGAAAAACCTGGTTTTGAATATCAAAAGATTGTATGTGAAAAGTATTTTTACAGGCTGCATGTACCCCTGTTTTATTGATCAATTAACTTTTCCCAAAATGAATTTTTCTGAGAATGTATATAAAAAACCCCAAACATCCCCCAACACTTACTGATAAATGTCTTTTCTGAGCACAGCTCTACTAAGAGGGTTGTCAGCCTGGGGAGCCATAGAGACAGATCCAATCTTGAGAACCAAAGTATCTTCTTTAATTGCTGGATTAGCTGTAGTGAAAACATGTGTTTGATTAAAAGGCAATTGCATTTAGCAAAACCATAGAAAGACTGTTTCCTAAAAAAAATCTAAATAAGAAAGCCTGTTACAATTCATTTCTGCTCAAGAACAACAAATGCAAAAAAACCTCATGAAATTAATAGTGTTGTTGTGATATATAAAAGACAAAACTATTCTCATTTATCTTCATTACATATTTTAATCACACAACTAAATCCTCATCTGTSACTTCCTACTTTCTCTTCTGCTTTTTTGTTTCTTTTTCTCTACATGTTTTTTTTTTTTTGATATGGGCCTAAGTCCTTTTAAATAGCAAAAAAAGTGCACAATATTATGTGACCATTACAGTAGCATTTGCTAAGGGTTGCAACACACACCAAAGCTTAAATCTTAAGACTAAAGGAAGAAGATCTGAAAACTGTCACATATATAAAATACAAAATACTTAAAAAAARGSAAAAAAAAAAAAAACTAGATAAAAATGATTGTAAATTCCACAGCAATAGCAAAATTATTCTAGGGAAAAAAAAACCCTCTACTTTCCCACTTTACCCTATTTAAATTTCAGCCACAAGTACAGACTCTTAGTTTTAAAAACATGAACTATATTTGGTAGATAACCAAAGTTCTGTCCAGAAAAAAAAAAAATGCACTGCATTTCTTGTAGTAAACAAGCTTTGTGAATTTTCCAGTTGGGAAAGGAGTGAGTCTGCTGAGTCTCCTTTCCAGCAGCCACAGACACATTCACAAAGCATTTTCATGGGCTTCTGCTCAAGAGACCTCCAAATAATTAGGAAGCAATGGGGAATGTGAGCTGCACGCTCCCGCAGTTCCCAGTCTGAACTGAAACAGGTCATTTTAGCCCCAGGATGATACATTTTGGAAGGGCTCTAAGCTTTCCCATGGGCTCTCACATGCAAAAAGTCCAGCAAGACCCAGTGCAGATGATGAAAACTATGGGAGTAGCACAAGGAGGTTGAAATCCTTGTACTGAGCAGTGAAACGCTTAATGGGAGGAAAACTAGGCAGCTCATGATTTGCTTAAAAGCTTGGCTTCTCCAGATCAGTTAAATTCTCGGTGGATCAGAGATCATGTTCCACAGCAATAATGGTAGTAATAATAGTAATAGTAATAGTAATAGTAATAGTAATAGTAATAGTAATAGTAATAGTAATAGTAATAAATATAGTCACAAAATTCACAGAAATTCTAATAAAATATTTCAAAACAATTATATGGAGATGGTAGAACAGCAGAAGAGTAACACAAGTTATAGCACAGTCACTAGAGGAGAATATAAGGCATTTGCTTATAGGAACTTCATCTACTTTAAAAACAGAAGCCAAATTCCTCTGTCCCCAAAGCGGAGCGGAACCATTTGCAGCTGGTTTGGCTACCAGAACCAAGGTAGAAAAGTTAAGCTGACAACAAAATCTTGCTTTTGACTAAACAGTAACCATGTTTTGAATTTTTAAAATAAAAAATAAATAAGGCACTGCACTAAGTACTAGATTTCCTGAGAGTTGGCAAGTTGGATTTTTTTTTCCCTGATGCTCACATAAAAAAGRAAACAAAAGGAGAGAAGATATTAAATGCAGTTCACATTCTAATTGTTTTAGGTGGCAAATGCTCTATTCTGAATAGTGTTTGTTAATACATTTTAGGTTAAGAATTCCCATTTGTGCCTCTGACACTTTGGAAACCACAAGAAACCTTGCAAAGGTGGGCACGGTTCTTCTGTGAGCAGTTTCATGCAGGTTAAGTATGCAGGTTAAGAAGCATCACTATCTCCTATATTTTGCATATATTTCAGTATTTTCATATTTTACCTCAGAAGACACCAGCTCTTGCACCACTTGCTAGAAAAGTGTCCATCCTGGAGAGTTAGTCTGCATAGCCTTTTCCTTGATATATTACTCGACATTTAGAATATCTTCAGTATATTTCCTACAAGGAGTGATGTAAGCACTGATGCATGGATATGTAGTCCTCAACATTATTTTCTCACAGAAAATTCTTCACCACATATATTGGTGTTAGCAGTAATGGCTTTATATTTACTTCCAGATTATTAAACGTCAATTTAATTTATAAAGCTCCATAGGCAAATGGGTTTCTGGGCTTTTAGTCAGCAATTTTAAATACATTTAATTCTTCCACTTACACTCCATGGGGACATTTGTTGGTTAGAATATCATGATATACAATGTCAAACTCTCTGCAAAACTCTAAGCATGTGAAATTTTGCAAAAAATTTAATCAACTGGAATTTGTAATTATAACACAAAATGTGTCTTCAAGTGTGTTTAACAGGGCTCATTTTCATAAAAACAATATTAGACTATGGTAGATTAAATATGAAGTAATTCTTTATCAACTGCAGCCGGTAGTGGATTTTTTCTTTATGTTGAACAAGGGACATGAATAAAGCAACCTGTCTTGACTTTATGTGAACATCAAATAAGACATTCTTAAGGTGCACCTTTCATCTGTCTAAAACCTTTTAGTCCAAGACGTGCTAAAAACTAACTTCAGAGAATCAAGATCCTTGAGTTTGACTGATTTGCAATGGTTTCACAGTAAGCAAGGAGGACGTTTGATTCCATATGTTATGACAGACTTCAAAGCAGAGAGCCACGCTCACATGACAAGAATATATCATGTTTACAAATGCAGGATACAAGTTTATTGAGCATGCTGCCTTTTTCTTCACACTATCAACAAATTTATCATGTCCTTGACTGACTCCTGGCACTCTGCTTCTAGTACCTATTTTTAAAAAATCCTCTTAACCTCAAACCAGTCAGATGTGTGTTTTCCCTGTCCTTAGCATTTCGTGTCAGCTCTTTAACGCAATTTGTATTTTTCTATTTATAGTGGCTATTATGYAGCATTTCTTTTCCCAGCTTGTATATTGCTTCTCTATATTTAGCTGTCTTTATCACTAAATAAGTGTAAGCTGTTGCTCAGTGCTTGAAAAAACATTTGCTATACTAACAAATCAAACTCTGAGTTAAAGCAGCATTTCTTCTACTGCACTTTCTGTCTAGGATTGACTGTTGCCCTCCAAATCCACCACAGAAAGAAATGTTAATGTGGCACTGCTGTAAAATCCATGAAGCTAAAAGGTTTTAAGATGGCATATGGATGTATACATGCGTGTAAAATTACAAGCAAAACAAAATATGATTTGACTATTTCATAGTATTTGTGCATTGCAGTTCATTGGTGCATATTTGGTTCTGGACTGCAAGAGTAGATTTGCCTGCTTTTAAAATGCTGTACATTCATCTAAATTATATGTGCTTTTAAGTGAAAGATAGTTTTGGTAGCTAGCACAGGATAAAATATATGAAAAGCAGACAGTAGTGATTARAGGAGAAAATGAGGTTATCATAGAATCATAGAATGCTTAAGGTTGGAAGGGACCTCAGAGGTCATCTAGTCCAACTCCCATACACGTATAGAGTCACCAAAAGCACGTGGCAGAGGATTGTGTCTAAGCAGGTTTGAAGACCTCCAGAGAAGGAGACTCCACAACCTCTCTGGGCAGCCTGTGCCAGGGCTCTGTCACCCTCACTGTCAAGAAGTGTTTCCTTAAGTTCCTGTGGAACTTCTGGTGCCTCAGYTTGTGSCCATTTAGTCCTATTGCTGTCCACCACTGAAAAGAGGCCGCCCCCTCCTCCTCACTCCCTCCCTTGAGGTATTTATAGACACTGATCAGGTCTCCCCTCAGTCTTCTCTTCTCCAGGCTGAACAGGCCCAGCTCCCTCAGCCTTTGCTCACAGGGCAGATGTTCCAGGCCCCTGATCATCCTCGCAGCCCTGCGCWGGACTCTCTCCAGCAGCTCCACAGCCCTCCTGTCCTGGGGAGCCCAGCACTGGACACAGTCTCCAGATGTGGCCTCACCAGGATTGTGTAGAGGGGCAGGATCCCCTCCCTTCACCTGCTGGCAACAACCTCCMGATGCAGCCAGGATCCCGTTGGCCTCCCTGGCCACAAGGGCACTGCTGCCTCATGGTCATCCTGTCGTCCACCAGGCCACCCAGATCCTTCTCTACAGAGCTGTAATTTTGCTATATTTTAAAAAAGCTCTGAATCAATATAGGATGAATGAGGTCTTGGGGGGCATGAAGTTTCCCTGATAAACAAGCATTTTCTGATATAGCACTCCAGTAAAGTAACACGGATCACACTCCATTCTTACTCATTATTGCTTCTACAGTGGATGAGGCCTGAGATGAATAAACAGCAGGAGACAAGAGTTTGGGAAAATTCAGGTAATGGAAAAAGGAGAATGGTACTTATTTAGATGGCATTGCAGACTTTTGCAGTGGAACAGGTTAGTTTGCCTTCTTATTAATTCATAAAGCTAATCCTTAGCATCATTCTTTAAAGGCACACATGTTTTTTCTCCTTATATTCATGCCTAACCATGAGAATTCTATTCTCTGCATTCATCCATCCAAATGATGGATCACAACCTGACAATGCCTCTCTGTCTGATTTCATTTTAATGCCATGTATGGTTACAGAGCTACAAAAACACACTCTTTAAAAAAGATTTCCTTGACTWCATGCCCCACAAGTCCATTCCACTGACTGGACTTGTGGGGCATCAGTCCAACTAATCAGTCCAACTGACTGATTATTTTCCAGTCAGTTCAGTCTGACATCTAAGAATCACTACACAAATATAAAAATTTATCTCTTGCTGGACACCAATCAGATGGTAAAGGTTGGGAGGGATGCTTAAAATGAACTGGACTATCTATGTGCTTCACTAGGGCATGGGTTTCTTGGTGCCAGTTACCACAGGACCAAGGCCTTTCCTGCACTCCATGACAGCAGCAAGAGTCTGTTGAAGACTGATCTGGTATTAGCATAAAGAGAATTAATACGAGCACTGCCAAGGACACAGATTTAGGCTTAAAATTCGCTTTCCACAGTTCTTGACTATTTGCTTTTATATTCACATTTTAAATACAAACTGGGTAGGTGCTGGCAAAGCAGCAATGGAATGAAAATCTAAAAATTCTGTGTAGAGCTAGTAAGAATTATAGGTGGTTTCTATTTCTGACCCAGAACAAACTAAAAGTCTGAGCAGTGCTGATAACTATCTTTCAGTTAATGATATTACTTAAGCATATTTGTCTACATCCAAACATCAAATGTCTACCACAGTACACAGTACCTTCTGCGTTATGACGGTTTTCCTCATTTTGGGGGAAAAAGACTCTAATTACTCCAGTGTTGATATAAATCAGAGGCAAATTGCGGGAGGTGAGCATGTGAGTCCTCATGGGCTGGCCTGGTGATTTTCTTTTCTCCTTTTGGCTCCTTGGCAACCTGGCTTGGAAAATGCTTGCAATTGCATTAAGCAAAGGAAAACAGAGCACCACATCAAAAGCCTGAGCAGAGAGAAGGATCTCATGAAGAAAGTGAGGAGACCCATCCGTGTGCCCTTCCAAGAGCTTATGGAATGTTCTCCGTTCATTCCTTGATATCAGTTTGTGCCGGACATTTTTTGTCACGGCCTTGGTGTAAGTGAGAGAAAGAAATCCATGTTGCTGGTGGGAGCCATCCAAAAGTTTTGAAGTTGCCTGTTTCAAAGAAAAAAAGCAAAATTGAAACTGATGAACAAATAAAATCTTGCACACATATAACATCCATTGATTGCCATATTCTCTCTGATTAGAATATTTAGGGCTCCCTTTTCTAATACTTTTTCACTCTTTCTGAATACAAGAAAAGCTATTTGTTTTTCTTTTTACTAGACAGTTCATCCCCAAATTTTGCCATTTTGTCATCTCTTGTCAGCTAAACTATAAATATTTGAACAATCTTTTTTTTTTTTTTTTTTTTTTAATCACTAACTTTTTATGTCCTTCATTTAGAATGCATCCTGGTTCATTAGTATTACTCAAACCCAAAAATCAAGAAAAAATACTCAAATATTTGGGAGAGTCTGAACTCATCAACCATTGTCCGACAGCTTTTTATACTCGCCATTACATGTTTTGATATCCTTTTCACTTCAGATGTTACAGAAATAAATCTTATTCCCTTCCACTCTCCTTTTCTGTAAGTTTAATCAACAGCTGAGGTGCTGAGGTAGATCTGTGGGACTGAGACAACTTCACTCCACATAAAAATGGGTGTAAAATACACCCATGTTTAACTACCTACTCTAAAAAATGAAATTGTTTTTCTCCTTGGATATTTAAGTTAGCAACAAGGATTTCCTAGATATATATGATAGAYGCTTGGCTCCCAAAAGATATATATTACTATTCTCAGTTCATCTTTGAAAGWCTTCTGGATATTTCAGTGTTATACCATTTGGGAGTGAAAAATATTAAAAAGAACAGTATCTGGGAAGAGGAGAGCATTTTCATAGTTTAGGAAACGTTTTAATAAGAACACTTTATGATTGTTCAAATATTTTTCTTTAATCACTTAAGCGCAAATAAAAACAATACTTTGCAAACATGCTTCCTGCAGCATCTTGAAATTTGATTTAAAAATAATTTAATGCAATTTTAACTTCATTCATAGAATATCTCTTAAATAAATAGAAAACAAAATTTAAATACTGAACAAATTAAGTTTTTTGATTAAGTGAATTAAAATAAATTAGTAAGTTAGATATTCTGCTTATAAGAAATAAAGCAACTAGAATAAGAGAAAGTATTTCCTAGTCCATATTCATTATGAAAATAAATCACAATATACAGAACTTCCACTAACACAAAAAGATTCTACACAGTTGCTTTTATTAGTGAAGAGCCTAATGACATAATAATGTAATTCATTTTTCAAGCAAAAAGGGCAAGGAAAAAAAAAGTTAAATATCTCACAATGAGATATTCTGAAGTAAAGATGCAAGAATTCCAAACAAAAGGCACAAATATGAATTTGTTAACTGCTTTCTTGTCAAAGTTATGCAAAGTAATTAAATGCAAAATTGTAAGAGGTCTACCTCTTTAAGGTCTACCTCAGTCATACAAAGCAATTAAATCCCTGGGTAGACATCAGAATGACACAAAATGTTCATGCACAAAATGCAGTTATTGTTCCATAYGTAGTGCCCAGTGCTACATGGGCCCAGTTTTCATGTCAATAAAAGGTTCTTGACTTCAGTGGATACTGATATGCTTCTGGTWATGAACCATCAATCCTCCTTCCCCAGCCAAAAAGAACTGGCCATTATTATTAAAGGAAATGAGGGAAAAACATGAGTAATACAAGATATGCAATCAAGACATTCAGTATAGACACAATTTATACAACCAGAAATGAAAGACATTTCAGGTTTTCTTTTTCACTCAAAATGGTATTAGTGGAAGTGCTGTAGCAGCAATTTAAAAAAGATTCTTACAGAAGGGAAGAAGCCAGAGATATTACTGAAAGGGTCCTGCTTGCTCATGGGTCGAACCAACAAGGTACGTCTGTTGAGCTTGTCAGTACAGGAAAGGAAAACACCTCCGTACTGCCCCAGAGACCAAGAGTCTTCTCCGAGGCTTGAGGTAATGAATGAAGCATAGAAGAGGAAAAACAAACAAAAAAACTAAAGGAATTGCCATAAGCAAAAAAAGGTATAATTACATTCGTTTTGCACAGTTATATATGGCTGCATGATATAAAGTCTGTGCCATACCTTCCTCTAAAATGCCAAAATTGAATCATATTAAGTCAAAAATTGGTTTAAAAAGAGAAATTTTGTAAGATTTTGATTTATGTGAAAGGATAACCCAGCAAGAGTTCAAGTAATATGGAATTAAAAGCCTAATAAAATCATCCATACAGCAAAACAGACTTTCCCTTGGATTTTTTAGAAGGAAGAGGAATGATTACAAGAACCAAGAAACTGCTAAAAAAAACTGTACTCAAATACATTTCAAAATCACAGGGCCTCCTTAGAAAAAAAGTGAGTTAGGGAGAACTCAGGYGTTGCTTCGTACTGTAATTCTTGTAATCATTCCCTTTAACATTTCACAGAACAAAGAAAAATACGTTGCTTAAGAAGAGTTATTCAGTTAAGCAGCTTAGTTTGCTAAAGAAATCTCACCAAAAGCTTTTCTTTGCACTGGAGCAATATTCCTTCCCAATGTCCTGCCTGCCAGCCTCCCCCTGGCCTGCAAGACAGAAGGTTCATCTTATCTGTTCTCTGCTTTTGCTCCAGCCTACAGCAATGCAGACCGAGAACTGCGCTCGGAAGAGCTTAAGGGATGTAAGGGATGTAAACGCAAACAACAATTTTGCCAAGTGGAATAACTGTGTGTGTGTGCTTGGGTATATGTATACAAATACATGCACACTCCTACATATAAATACACWTACAGACATCTGTGTGTATATGCATATATACATAAACACTTGGATATACGTGTAGGTGTGTATATACACACAAACATGGGTACATATGTATGTGTGTATATGTTTTAGCAAACAAATGAGAGGGATTTTCACGGGAGCACTGGGCTCCTGGCAAGGCAGTTGGGCTCGCTGGGCTCACTGTCTCTGAAGTTTTACATTGAACCTGCGAAGAGAGCAGCCTGGGAAACATCAACCGGCTACTGGGACTCCACTGAACTTTAAGGCACCAAAATTTGATTTTTAAGACCTTAAAAAATAAGTTGCAAAGTTCAATTGTCCAATATTACAATGTTTTCAAACAATAGCTGTCCTTGTAAACYTGACAAAAGAAATGCTACTTTTTTGTTTTACACTGTTGATTAGGAAAAAAAATTCTTATAACTGCATAGGAATCAGCACAGAAAAGCTGATATTGAAACTCCTTCTTATTGCACATAGGGAACAATAATAAATGTTGAATAAAACTTTACAAGCACAGGCTCATATGTGAACATGGTTTGAGCACCTAAATATTTTAGTCACTTCAATTTTGATAGAATATTCTAAAATTTCTTTTAAAAAAGCTTCTCTCTCAGCTATCGTATTTTCTCTTAATTTCTGTTTTCCTTAAACAGAATCTGATGAGCTGCAATGACAAATGGTAATCCAGCCCTCTCCTTAACCTGAGTTTAATCACTGAGATTTTAGTCAGGCGTTTCTGCATAACGCTGACACCCTGCTCAGGTCCCTGCATCACTGGGGTGCTGAGCTCCGGCACCAGAAATTGCTCTACTGTTAGACACTTCTTTTCAATATCAAACAGTATGGCACCATAAAAAATAAACATTATCCACTTGCTAGAGTTAAATGCATTATGAAACAGTATTTAAGATATTTCCCACTCAAAATTTCAGCAAAACAAATGACTTTTTCTAACAAACCAACAAAGCAATAATGCAAAAAAAAAAAAAGAAGCTCTCTTTATATGAAATATTTTCATGTATTTCTTTGGAATCAGATAAGATACTGAGAAACTGCAATTCCAGTGCTTATTACCTAAAAATTCAAATCCATTCCATTTCACTTATATTCAACAATTACTTTAAATTTAAGCTAAGAGTTAAGGACCAACCACTGCTGCCTTCTTCCAGCCAGGAAAGAGAGCAGCTCCTGGGAATTACCTGTTTCTGTAATGATCAATATTGAAGCTTTCTATTTTACATTTGATTTTGGTATACACGTCCTGCACGTCCACTGAGGCGCTGAGATCTTCTAATTCACTGACAACACAAACTTCTGTAACGGTCAAAGAAAATTAAAATGATAAGTTATCAGTCTAAAACCTACAAATGGGTACAATATCTGGCCTACTACCTTTGAAAATTGCATGAGGCTGTTTCTGCTCTTTTTTTTTTCATATAACACATGTTGGCTTAGTTGTCACACACAGGAACTGGTAAAAAAAGCATCAATCCAAACCTCTTCATACGAGTGCATATAATGTGAGACACTTATTTACGGGGTTTTTAGACCAGAATTCCCATAAAGAATAAAAAATTCCTATAAAGAATAAAAAGATTTGCCAAGATAGTTACTCTAACACTTTTTAGTTACTCTAACACTTTAGATTTCTTTCTTTCATCTAATTATTTTCATATCAAAGGTTCAAGTTTCTTTGCAAATTAGCTTTAGCTACATGCAACCACATTTCCAGTTTAATATAATCATTATTCCACATGGTGGAGGAAGTGTTTGCCAAAGAGCAATACTGAATTCTAATTATATGCATTAACTAGAGCTTACTTTGGTAGGCCAAAACACAGATCCAAGGCACATTCTTGTATTATACAATGTTAATATTATCAATAAATGCTCTGAATAGCCAATRTTCTGCCTTAAAATAAGGCCTTAAAATGAGAAAATTATGCTGAATACCTGTGCCATTATTTCTAGGATCAGGAGCAAACAGTTTTATAGTAATTTTTGGCAACATCCACTGCATCCACAGGCTGACACGTCCGCTGGACACTCCAATGTTACTTGTAGTTTGTTCCAACGTAACCGAGTCTGAGAAGGGAGAATCGTCACCACCCTGAAGAGAGTCACCCTGCGAAACAACAGCAACAGCTGAGGAAACAGTCTTGCTTCTCAGCACTACTCATTTCTTCTGTCTAGATGGATGCAGAACCCCAGACTATGTACATTATACACACAAACACACTCACTGTTACTTTCAAATCAAACCATTTTTAATGCTAGGGAAAAACAAAAGTTAATATTCTCCTTTCTGAGGTAAAGATAGTACACTTCGGCCAAGATAATAAAGTTCCATCGCGTAGCTCCCCTTCGGTGCAGTGAGTTCTCCTTGCTATCTCTTCGAATCAAACACTGCTACCAGCGAAAAAAAAGCAGGATATTCTGGCACAAAATGGGGAAGGGGCTAAGGAGACCTGTGCACATCTCAGCAAGAGAGGGAGAAAGGGTTGTCGGACACAGCAAATGGGGAAGACCTCAGTATGGCCATACCACTTCCACACTACACACAGACTGCTTTTTTAATTCGTCTTCTTAATTGTAGCTGTTTGGGGAAACTGATTTCACAAAAGAAAAGCTCTGTGCAAAAAATTTTGTGCAACTCATGCCTGTAGCTTGAAAGACTTTATCACGTAAACACATGTTGTCTTATTGCCATTTTAACGACAAGACAAGGCAACAAGACAGGTTTAAAATCCTACACAAAAATTTTGCAGACAATCCATTATTTCTTTGGGCTATCTGCTACCCATAAAACGGTGCTGCTGCCATTGTACTTTTAGAATTTATTACATAATAAAGAATACATTTCCCACTTTATTTTTCAGAAAAACACTGAACCACAGCTTCTGCCTCAAGTTTTCTGCTCTTTGTCACTCACGTTAGCATGCAGTGATTTTTTCTTCAGCAAAACTTAGAACCCAAGTATAAAGAAGCAGCAAAGATATTTAATTTTATTTATGTGCATTAACCTTGACCCTTGAAAAACTCAGTGGTACTTATTAAGATTGATAAGCAGCCATCTATGTTGTCAAACATCCAGCACGGGGGAAGTTATCCCTCCAGACAGTCATGAGGCAGACACTGTGCAGTTAACACTGTTACAGGGAAATAATATGAATGTGAATGCATTATTTAGAGCAGTTCAACAGACATAATATGAGCTGCTGACCTGAAAATTATGATTCGGTTATCCTTCAAGTCAATATACTGAGGGGGGTTTTCAATCAATCAAGTGCATGAGAACAGATACAGGCACTACTGCCCACAGCTCTGCACAGACTCCTCGGGGAGCCATAGGTGACTGTCACCTGGGAGGTGATGCTAGGCTCCAGAGCTGCAAAACACTAACTGCAATTAATATGCATGTTTCTTAGTGGAAAATAGACACATTTCAAACTCCCGATTTCACTTTACAAACAAATTAAAGGAAAAAAAAATCAGGTTGTACCATAAGTAAGAGAAAACTTACTGATTATTCATGGAGGGAGCTGTCTGTTCATTCCATGGTAAAGCTATGCAATTCAAATGGAAGAGAAATATCCTACCCTAGCTGCCATTCATTATGCTTTATGCAAAAATCAGTGGCAGTTCAATGACATAGTATAGAATTATTGATTTAAGGCATTGTATTATTAAGTATCGTCTTTGCTGTTTTTAAAAATTAACTTCAATATGTGTWAAAAAAAAAAGGTATTACTTCTAAGAGAGAGGAAGAATGCTTGGATGTGCACTTATCTGCATGTGCATTGCAAGGAGAAAAGGTGGAAAGCAGATTATAAATGTTCTTACAGAAAACAAGGTACAGAGAAGAGGGAAGCGTGGCTGGGTGCATGGGCCCTCTTCCTGCTGCGGATTTAATATTGACTAATGAAGTTTATTACAGCAGGATGTCTAACTGGAGAAGCCAAAAGCGGCTGATCTGCATGTACCCAATTCCAGTACACGTGGGGCACGCTGGAGCTATGGCAGCCAGTAAGATTAAGAAATACTAATAGGGAAATAAAAGGTGCAGGGTGGTACAGCCTGCTACACGACACATTAGCCAGGGCAGAGGTGAACTCCCTTCTGCCAACCCGACCTACAGCCTCTGCTTCCTCCCTCTCCAAAGATTCCTGCTTCTTGCCAGACCTTTCACAAGCTGCCCGGAGATTCCTACCACCGAGCACCGCTTGCCACCCATGTCTGTGCAAGACATGTTTCCTAACATCTCCACAGAGAGGGTGCTCTCTTCAGGACCTCCTCCACGTCCTACAGGGCAGTACAGACTGCAGCGCACAGGCAGATCCCTTTAGGCTTTCCAGCACTGCAGGCAAAAGTCTGTTTTGCTTCTCCAAAATGCCAACTCCTGTCCTTGGAACAGGGAACTGGAGAAGGAATAAAAGCTGGGCAGGGAGCCTGGGGAGCGTCAGAGCTGGCGCTGCCCCAGCAGCCGGATGCACGGAGGGAGAGCAGCCTCTTCTCCAGCACCACTCACTCCCTTTTGGCTTCTCCTGAAACAGCAGTCTCCAGCATTAGGAAATGAGCACATGCCAGAAAGGCAGCAGCATTCCAAACATTTTGCCATCCTCTGCCTATTCTTCCAACAGTAGCCTGTGTCCCCAGGCATCTGCTTTCCTTACTTGCAATGCCATAAGAAGTGGGAGCAAAGACATTTACTTCTAGAGCCGGAATGAACATCATACTACAGGAATCCCATCTCCCTCTTTAATCAGACCTCCCAGATGCCTCATCCGATTTCATGACCAACAAGGGCACTGGCGACTTCCATCCGGAGCCCTTTGATCTCTGCCTTCCGTAAATCCCAACCTTGTCATTTCTTTCCTGTAACTCATCCAAATGGTCTTGAAGCCGCCTTCCACCAACCTCCCGCATCTCCATAATTAAACTCCAAATGATTCCCCCGCATGGGAATCATTTCAGCTGTGTCTGGACTTCCATCGTGGCTGGAAGGACTTTTCTCAYGAGGCCTCGAACGCTCGGGAGCCGTGGGAGGCAGCGCTGCTTGGAACGGGGATCCCCACGCACGGCAGCTCCGGGAAGCAGTGGCCAAGGCCAGGCTGTGGCTGCGGAGACCCTGAGATGCATCTCACAGAGCATCAAGAAAAGGAGGCCAATTAAAGGTCAAGGAAAGGGAGAAACGATACTTATKTAAACCTGAAAACGTATTTATTTTCACTTCGATTCAAAGCTCAAGCCAATGTTGACATTCTGTAGACGGATTTGCTCCCCTCCATGTGGTTAATAAAAAGCATTTTCCCGTCTGCTTTTAGAGCTGGAGCATTTCTGAAGTTCCTTCTGGGGTGTCGGTGGCCTCAATTCTCCAAAACACAATTCACAAGCTGTGCTGGAGAGGGGAGTGAGCGCCGCTCTCCTCCCGGCGCGCCCGCGCGCACCCTCGCTCGCCCACTGGCCACCCTCCAAAACCCCTTCTGTATGAAAATCAATTTTGCTCTAAAATTTTGGCAGATCTCTACATTTCGGGAGAGTTTTAAAAAGCAGAAAACAATAGTAAATTAAACTTAAAGTGGAATTCTTAACAGAAAATATATACTGCCACCATGGCCAGTTTTGCATTTTATAATTTGGATCTTTATAATTTGGACCATGATTTAGTGGGTTCAAGCATTATGTTTCAAGTATTTTGTTAAGTTATTTTTTTTCCATAAAGGCTGTTTTTGTTTAGTGGTTTGAGGATATAGATAACTTTGTGCCGTAGAAAACTGAGGCAATCATTTTCCCACACTTTTCTTTAAGCTTATTTTTCTGAGAATATAAAATGATCTCCTTTGCTTTTCAGAGAAGCAGCCTGTTAATAATTTTGGCACAGGGTTCTATGCAGCGGCGTTCGTGCAGTCCTTGAAGAACTGCATTTATCAGGCATAAGCCCARAGCCATATAAAAAGTGAAGTAACTCAGGAATGTGCAATCAAATTTAAAAGCAGCGAACACTGAATTTTAGAGCATGTGGCCTCTACTAACTTCCAAGTCTATTAAACCTATAAAGTTTATCAAAAAACAGAGGTACAGGTAACAGACCSAGATGTATCTTCGGAAACTGCTTCCTCTTTCTTTAAATACATAATGCTTAGGAAGAGGCAGTATATCTGACATGCAATAACCCCAAAATGCACAGGCAAGGAGGAGAGGTGCTCGCAGTTTCCTTCACTCCTGCAGGAGCTCGGCTCGCTCTGGCCTGAGTCCAGTTATGTTGGCGCTTGCACTTGTGCGACTTGCAGATCTTTCTCACACTTTAATTCCTGCAGAACATCAGGTGGCTTTATTAAAATCTACAGATATCGTGTTTTAAGATGCAGCAGAAAATTTCATTTCATACCCTAGTAAGAACACATCTATTTCTGGTAGCAAGTAGAAAAGCGAGACTTGAATTTCCAGATGCCAAGTGCACATTGCCAGAAATTAAAGCTCTGTGACTACCCGGACGCGGCCAGCACAACGCAGGGCTGAGGTTGTGGCAGGGCAGGTTGGGTGCTGGGCGCCTGGCCTGGCAATTGGGAGGATTTGGGCGCTTCTTTCTGCAAGACGTGGCTATGCTCTCACTCAGCACACACGTTGTGTGCTGCARTTTATACACAGGTCACTGGTACCAGGGCTCCCACGTTGAGCTGAGGCTCTCACAGATGCTCTTGGCTGCAYGGATGGGGTTGTCCACACGCATTCCCACCTGCTGGTCACCGGGTCCCAGCCGGATGCTGCTGTCTCCTCAGCTCAGCATGCTCCCTAAGTTGTTCCACCGATCTAACATGTGTAAACAGCTGGATTGGCCCCTTCTCAGCGGTCGCAGCTGTACGTGTGCTCCTCTGAAGGCAGCAATTGCTCTAGGGCCGTCCTGAGGGAGGTGGGAACTGAAGGGATTGCATTTCTCCCTCTCCTTCTGCTAGTACTACAGTATCCAGAACCACTGGGCAGAGTCACAAGGAGGGAAAAAACTGATGGCTTGCAGTAGCTGAAGTCATTTTCTTTTTAAATAAGCTCAAAGCCTTAGAAAATTTGTGCGCAGAATAACTATGAAGCCAAAGTGAGAAGAGAGCCTATGCTCTTGTTTCTCATGCA